TACCCTACCAGTATATTAATATTATTGGTGATAATAAAGGTGATACTGGTTTGCATTAACAGTTTGCCCAGGTAAACATTTATTGCGAACAGATATCTACGTACCTTAATCCATACTCTGCACGAGTAGTACCAATATTATTATGGAATGTTTTTTGCACATCAAATATTTAATGATGTTTCACAGTCCAAATACAAATATATTGATTAGAGTAGTACTTATTATCCTGACCCTCATGATATAAGCACAGAATAGGTCCATATAGTGCTTAGTGTACTACTGTACACTACACAGGACGACAAACTGCCTATGTTTTTACATTAATGTAAAGTTTCATTCAGTAAAAAAATTTTTTTACAAGTGGTGATTTTTTTAAACCAAGTAAACTTATGTGTTTCATTTTTATTTCTATACATGCACATTTTAAAAACTATACTTCCACTTCTAATAATCTTGAAAAAAAGAAAAGAATTTCTTAATTTGTATACTTCAATTTCAAAGAGATTTTAGCTTACATTCAACAGTGGAATATGAGACTTTTCCCCATAAATTAACAGGTGTTTAAATAATGCCAATTTCTATCGTACAAAACTTGCAAATCACCAAAAACTGGTTTTTCCCCCCGTTTTCAGATCCTTTACTTTATTGAAGTTGACTTATATAGTTGATTTAAATGAAGTTTTATTTCGATTTTTCCAGGATTTTTCTTATTTTTGGGTGGCAGATACATCATTCAGTGAGATTTGAAGAAAAGATAGTATAATACATAGTCCAAGTATCGAAATGCACGCCAACGTGTCGGGATTCAATACTTCGACATTAATTATGTCATCATCAGATATTCAGATGATTCCTGATGATGACATAATTAATGTCGAAATATTGAATCCTGACACAATGGCATGCATTGCAATACTTGGACTATGTATTATACTATCTTATCTTAGATTAATCTGTGGACCTTTAGGTTTGAAGAATGTATCACATATTGACAACAACAATTAATAGGTTGACTTTATAAATGTGGAAGGGGTATGGCGCAGTGGAAATGGTTTAGTTTCCCAAACTTGAGGTCAGGGTTTCAATCCCTTGCTGTGCCTTTCACTTGTGTCCTTGAGCAAGGCACTTAATCTACATTGCTTTAGTCTACCCAGCTGTATCAATGAGTACCAACAAATGACTGGGAATAACCTGCAGTGGACTAGCATCCAACCCAGGGGGAGCAACACACTCTCGAATTGTGATGTCGATATGCTCTTTGTGAAATTTAGACAGAATAAAAAAAATAGGCTCCCAGCGGGAGCGTGTCTAATGCCTTATACAGGAGTTTTTGTTTTTTAAATTTTATCTTATGTTCTTCAATATGCAGATGTGTGTACTATTGTAGTGTATCTGGATTTTTCGTGAAATTTTTTTTCATAACAATATTCTGTATAGGCCTACTACTATATTACACTAAAAACACTTTAAAAATGAGTAACTCTTTGAGTTACCACGTTATGTTGTTGATCACGAAGAGTACTACCATATTCTAGAGCGCCCCCTACCTCGTGGTAGTAGTACCCATCAAAGGTCTTATAAACACATGATAGCGTTCTCCGCGATTTACGCGTAACAAATAGAAGCGTCAATTTGGCACAGAAAAGTAATCAGTTTTGGGAGAGGGCGTCCTAGTCGTTGCCATGGATCTGAGATGGGTGTCCGTGTTACGCCATAAGTTCGTTACCAAGTACGTTAATTTCTTCCTTATGTTCTAAAGAGAGGGCGCATTGTAAATCGGGCGCTTCTAATTGTTACGCGCAAGCATAAAGTCGCGCGGCGTACGCTATGGTCAGAGCGGTCCAGGTTCAAAAGTTTTCAATTTTGCAAGAGGGTGCTTTTCATGCATTATTACAGCATTTGCACGCGTAAATGCGGAGAATTCTATCTTGTGTTTATAAAATCTTAAACCGGATTTACCCTTTTTTGAAATCTTTAATTGCTACATCATGACATAGTGTCTACGCCACCGTTGGGGGCAGTAGACACAAACAGTGGCATTCTGGTGTGCAAACAAAATTCAAATAAGAAGAGCTAATATTTATTATTATATTGATAGAAGAGATCAAACAGTCCATGTGTTTGTTTAACCATTATAAATATTGTGTTACATACCTTGAAAATCAATTTGATGAATAATAACAATTTTATGGTTGACTTTGTACAGTAAAATAATTCTTAGATAGAAAACATCATTCTCTAACCTGAAAATGTGGACCTTATTTCAAGGAAAAGAGGACAAATGGGATTTCCTTTATAACCATCGTACCCCTCTATGTATGGATGTAAGGAGTGCTTATGGCATTCAAGCACCTCTCAGAGGCTTTGCTTCGTATCTGCATAAGCAACACATTCAATATCCAATTTTATTTCTGGGCATCTTTTTAGCTTTTTGAGCCCACTTTTGTTCTTAGCCCTTAGCTTGAACTTTGTACTTCTTGCATCTGCTGTAAACTGTATTGTTTGTTTTGTGCAAAATAAACATAAATAAAGAAGTTTGAGATTGTGTAAGATTGGTTTAGTATCCGATGACCAGAACCCTACACGATACAAATCCAATAATTAATAATTCATTATATGCTTACTATCTGATCGCTTGCTTTTGTTACCATGTTCTCCGTGACTATTGTATTCTGTATTGTCGTTAAATGTGATCTCCAACTGCTTCAGGTCATGTGATGTCCTGTTAATTTGGAGACTGTAATAAAATAGATTTTAAGATTAGCCATAAAACATCATTAGAAGTAATATCCATCATGCTATACATCATGCTTGCTGCTGTTGTAGCCACTCATAACTAATGCATCTAACAAACGCCATTATCAGTAATGCTATAGTGTGCAGATTATGAATAATCAAGAATAATTGAAAATAATCACATCATTAGAATTACAAAAAAAAAAAAAAAAAAGTAAAAAATATTTAAAAAAAAAAAAAAAAAAAAAAAAGTAAAAAATATTTAATCATAGCTAATAAATTTCAAACTACAAAATAATATGGATAACGCTAATAATAATATTATATTATCAACTTGAGCAACTCAAGTTTAGGTGAAAAAGAATAAATGAAAATAAAAAAGGATTGATACAATCGAACAATTTGTCCTGAAATGTAGGGGGCCAATGACGGAATAGTGACGTCGACTGGTTTTACAGACAAATTATTTTCTTAAGGGTTTACATCTATTTAGAGTTACTTAATCCTTTTTCTCACTAACATTAAATTCAAAATATGATGAGTAATGTGTCTAACCTGTCATATTTTCAAGGAAGATCGATTTGAAAATGAATGGTTGAAACGATTCTAATGTTAAATGCATGAAACGAATTAGACTGCAAGTAAGCCTATATTTTAGATGTCCCAACAATTTTATGAAAGAATATTTGATCTCCTAATACAGTATATGGCTACGAGATTATTCTGAAATTCAAGCTTTCTGCATTTGCTGGAAGATTTTACTCAGAGCTGGTACAAATTAGTGCAAAGCTCACAAAATTTCAAGTTTTGAGAAAGCTACAGTATACATGTATTTAATTAAATGAGGCATGTTGTGGCAAAATGGCTAAGTTGTAGCGAAAATTGAAATTCAAGTTATTGGTATTTTCAGATACCTGAGTATGTGATCTTTAAAATGAGGGGTCATTCATTGAAATTGGACATTTTAAGCCTAAGTTGTTGAAAAGTGAAAGTACAGTATTCTTAGAATCAATGATTTTAAGTAATTGCCTTTCAAAGTTATTTGTGCATACATTGTTAAATAGAATGGACTATCAAAATAACGTTAAATAAACAACTTGTTGACCACTTCCAGAACTAAGACTTTGGTATATGATTAATAAGACATTAAACTGTTGATATATAGTGAACAATAAATTTGGATTTTTAGGCAATTTTTTGAGCTCCCATATTTTATAGCTTATTTACTCAATACTGGCCTGTGCGACAACTTAACCATTTTGCCACGACATGCCTCAAATGAGCAAAACAACTACAGTACACTATGATACTGTGGAAAGTTTGCACTTACCTCATATTGTTAAAATTAAAATACAGAAACACTACCGATACAGAGTTATTCTTGATACTTGAACGATTTAGGATGCAATTATCCACAGGATCATCCTGCTTTAAAAAAAAAAAAAAAAAAAAAAAATCAATATCATTTTTGACATGCAGTATGGAATTACTGTATTGTGATTATGACAATATTTATCATTAAATATGATTATATTCATAAATATGAAAAATAAAATATTGTACTTTGATATTGATCAACATGATTACAATCAGATGTGATATATGATCAAATAGTATCTGATCATATATCAATGATAATAATTAATCACAATTATGACAATTAGCATTACTATAGTATATGATTATAATCACATAAGTATTTGTACAGTTATGGCTGAATCTACTATTATACTATGAGTAGTTATATCATTATGTGGTTGAAAATAAAAAATTATTTCATATTTCTCATCAGATCAATGACAATGTTAAGTGTCTCTAGTTATGTGAATCTTCATGGCCGTAGCCCCATAGCACAGTATCTGTTCGTCATCACATAGTACAATAGCATATTTATTGTATACAGTAGCTACAATCAAAGAACATGATTTATTCAGGGCGGATCCAAGATTTCTGAGCCGCGTTGGGGGGTCCGGTGGGGTTTGCCTTTTTCGCTTATCTTAACAGTTTTAGACAGTTTAATAATGGAAGCAAATACAATTTAATAATATGATGCCCTGGGCATGAACAATACGAGATGGGGTAGGCCTTCTTTTCGATAAAGTATCGAAATTTAACCGTATATACTCGCGTATAAGACGAGGCTTAAAATAGTAAGTTACGATAAAAAAACAGTGGGTCATCTTATATAGTACGTGCGACAGATAACTTGTCCAAAAACCTCAGAGGTCATCTTATACGCAGGTTACCTTATATGGGAATATATAGGTAAATGGATATATTGGTTTTTAAAAGCCCATAGGATTGTATTTTTGAAGATTAGCCCCACATTTGGATCTGTCTTTATCCATCTAGATACAGTATCAAGACCACAAATAGCAGCAACAAATATAAATTAAAAAGTTGAAAGTTGAGCGCCCACTTCGCCAACTGCTGGATCCGCCTCTGTTATTATTAATAATGATCACACAATGTAAACTAAAAACTAAATACATAATAGAAACTGTAAAATCTAAACATCTTAAATATTAGGTGTGTTTACATTCACAAAACAGACTTATATTAAATTATGCTAAGTCTGTTTTGTGAATCTGTAACACACCTAATATTTAGAATGTTTAGACTTTACAGTTTCTATTATGTATTTAGTTTACACTGTGTGATCATTATTAATAATAAACCATGTTCTTTGATCGTAGATACTGTATACAATAAATATGATACTCTTTACAGTAAATATGCTATTGTAATTATGAATACAGCCCATAATGGATATCCGGGAACTAAGACATTTGCGGCTTAATTCAATCTTTATTTTGGATAAAATATCAATGGGATATCCATATGCTAGATACTATTTTATTTTAGATAATACATTTAGTGATTCATGAACTAGATTTACTGTATATAGCTCAGTGCAACTCTTGAGTCTACCAGCTTCTTATCCTTGTAAGGAAATGCAAAAAAAAATTGGGGATTAGAGTTGGTCAGCAGTAAAGTAAGCTTTTGTAATTCTTCATACATTAACTATTTGCATTCAATATGTTTTTTTAGACAGGGAAAAGACAAATTATATTTATTATTATTATTATTATTATTATTTCTGCTGTGTTACTAATTACTGTACTGTTGTAATTATTATTGTTTGATAAATTACATTATTTTAAGACTGACATAAGGAAAATAAACCTGAGGAGTTCTTAATGAATTGAGACATATCAGATAGGATTCAAGAAAGCATATTTTTCTAAATTATTGGCAGAATTATTGTGAGAAAACTAATCACTATTTGTAACTTCAGTATGCATTATTATAATTAGCATTACAATACAAGTGTACTGACTTTCTGTAGAAAAATAATTAAACAATCATTGATTTGTTATTAAGCTATCCCTGGGAAATGTGTTTCACTTTCATATGAGCTGATGATACTGTATCAGTAGTGTACCATACTTAGGTCAAATACAAAAGAAAAAATTTAATTGAAAAATGAGCATAAGCAACGTTGATACGGTGTCAAAACTAATGCATTTACTAATTTTTTTTTAGAAAAACCTATGGTCCCCATCTTGATATGAACCTAAGACCTTCCAATTGAGGCCAAGTGCACCATTGGCTTTTCCCATTAGAACATGTTTTTTTTTTCTCACAGGGTACTGCATATAATTCTATTATCATTATTATCATTATTTACCACCAGAGGTATTCTGATAGCAAAGTTACTATCATGTATTATAACACACCTAAATAGATCCGCCTTGTTGAATGGAACAGTCAATCTTTTAACTCATGAAAATATTCTTCCCATTGCACTAATAAACATTCATTATTTGTATATTAATTTACTTTTTATGGTAAATACATATGGTATATAATAAAGGCAATAGTAGGTAAATAATGTACCCGTGCACCTCTGCTCAGAGTTAGTGTATTACCAATAAATTAGAAGATAAATTTGTTCATAGCAATTTAGCTGAAAAGACTATGGTATACAGGTAACAATGGTTCTAGTTTCATAAAGAATATTGCACAAAATATTATACATCTAATTTAAATAATGTATGTTGGCACTACCTAGTAGAATAAAACATGGAAATTGAATTAAAATATATAGTAGTTTCCCAGAACCGTACTGCAATTACTGTCAATTGTTACAATTAATCGTAACTGTAATTTACAGTAGATAACATCAAGGTATTACTAAATGTTCTGTCAAATTTTGCCAAATATGGAGAACATACTAACTAGCCAATCAGAGCGCTGGAGCTACCTCATTATTGCGAATGATATGACGAATCATTCTACAAGCCATCTGCATTCACTATCATCTCATTTCCAATGATATTTCATGAATCTTCTGAGATCCACATTAGAGAATATGAAAAGGAATATCTGTCAAAACCAATTTAGTAGATAAAGAAACAATAAAAAATGGGTTACTTTGCAGTTGAATTGAATTTTAACTGTCCTTCTTAAAAGTACAAATCGGCAGGTCTCTTTATTTAAATGTAGGATTACAATTCTGTGCCGGGTACTGCTGTAGTGTTAAATAATGTAATATAAGGAATGCGTGCTTGGTCCCTGGGGAACCATAGCCATTGAATTGGCAATCTTTTTCTCCTTGCTAAAAGAGTGTAGCATTCTTGGAGTAGCTTGGTGTGGGGTGGAGCTGTAGCTAGGTAGCTGACATACTGTACAGTATGTGCTTCCCAATCCCAAGGTGCTTGAGGTTCAAATTCACTGAAAAGGGACTTGTGTGAATGTATACAAAAGAACAGACAGTATAATACAAGTCGTCTATCACTCCTATCTATGTACAAACATTTACAGCTCCATGATACAATAAGTCAGAGAAAGTGTTCATTTTATTCAGACACCTAGACAAAGGATGAACTAAATCCTATTCAAATTATGCAAATGCTACAAAAACCAAAAAAGTTTGAGATGCGACTAATGTATGGTTTTTTGGCAGTGAAATTATGGCCCTTTTGTAAGACCTTATTAATAGGTCCATGGTGAAACAATATTTATTTTTTGGGGTGAAAGGGCCAGGTAGGAAAAAAATTGTTTCTCTTGACATCAATGAAAGAAAAAATGGGGGTACTTTTTCTTAATTTCATAATGCCTGTCTGTCACTGTGTCAGTGTCATCAGATTAATATACTATGATGGTAAAACCATTTGAAATGGAATTAACCACAGAAAGGCTATTTATTCCGAGTAAATACTGATTGCAAGTATAAGTCCAGTTGGCCAACAAAGAAAAAAAAAAACTATATATTTTTTTCATCTTGGCCTAACTGTAGGCCAACTACTGTAGATACAGCAGTGACTGTCTTCATTTTGTGGACTCACTGTAGTTGATTGTTGGTCCAATAATATAGTATACTGTACCATATTCTATTCTATTCTAGTAGCTTCCCAGACTGTTCTTCCCTGAGGAACCATAGCCACTATAGTGAAGCGATCTTTTTTTCTTCTCATTGAAGAGTGTAGCATAAAGTTATTGAGTGAATGAAAAAAAAAAAAAAATACAAAACTTGAAAGGAATATTTTGACCTGAGGGATGCTTAAATCAGTAAAAGGATGTACTACTAACATCTTCTGGTAAACAAGAATATTAAAGAAACCTAGAAAGCAATTAAAGCAGGCTAATTGTTAACAATACAAATCAATTTGGCTGCTAATCAAAATTAAACTGCAACTCATCTTTACCATTAGTCACCTTTAACTGAAATACATGTGACATGGAGATTAAAGCCTACATTTCTCAAGTCTACTATTTAACAATGATACATCATCCCAGGAGAACTCACTATTACTGATCACACCAATGATCTGTGTTAACAGGTTAAGACCCAAGGCATATTGTAAATGATGAATTGGAAGTATTAAAATAAATATTCTGATTGAAAATGATGAATGGAAGTATTAAAATAAATATTCCGATTGGAATCAACAGTATTTGTACTTTGCTTTGTTTTCAATAACAGAGTAATTTGAAATACTGTAGCTTTAGAACTCAAAGGCAAATTTACTCTATCGAATTTAACACTTCCAAATAATCTAGAGAGTTTAAGATAACTACTGTAAGGTGTCGGACAACTTCGCAAATTCACCTGGTTAATATGCTCTCTTTATTGCAAAAAAACATACATGATACAACATGGTCTGAATAATGAGAGCCAAGAGCCTGCGTACAGCTACCCCACCAACATAAATGACCGACTCGGAGTAGTTTTTATACCAGAAAATTAGCATAATTATTGATAGGCAAAAAAGCGTATGTGAATTTAGCCAAAATGACAGGTCACTTGTCCAAACAGAGTTATGGAACCATTTAAGATGTGTACAGTTTTATACAGCAATCAAGGCAAACTACTATAAAGGAGGTATAAAATGTAATAAATAAAAGGTTTATCTTTAAAGATT